TATTAGCTTCTAGACTGAATTCGGTCTTATGTACGAAAATTCATGCCATTTGGGCTGATAAAGGCCATTTGATGCACAATTAACACGAAATCGGATGAAAACATATATGGGAGCTATAGCTATGTATATCTGAACCGATTTTTACAAAAATTGGTGTACTTGCTTCTAAGTTGGTTTCGGTCGGATTTGCCAAAATTGATGCTATTACGGCCATTTGGTGGTCAATCACCCGAAATCGGATGAAGATATATATGGGAGCTATATCCAAATCTGAACCGATTTCGGTTTAAAACAGCTATTCCTGTGCTCCATCTAGTACCTGGTACCAAATATCACGGTTGTGGAGTGAATATTACGAATGTAAGGGACTAAAACACTAAATCGGATAAAACATATATATGGGAGCTATATCCAAATCTGAACCGATTTTCTCCAAATTTGTTGTATTTGCTTTAAGGCTAATCTCGGTCACATGTGCCAAAATTCGGGCCATTTGGGCTGATATTGGCCATTTGGTGGCCAATTAACCCGAAATCGGATGAAGATATATATGGAAGCTATATCCAAATCTGAACCGATTTCGATAAAATTTAAAACAGCTATTTCTGTGCTCCATCTAATACCTGGTACCAAATATCACGGTTGTGGAGTGCATAGTAGGAATGTGAGGGACTTAAAGATCAAATCTGATGAAAGATATATATGGGAGCTATAGCTATATCTGAACCGATTTTCTCCAAATTTGATATAATTGCTTCTAGGCCGAACTGGGTTGGGTGTGCCAAAATTCAGGTAATTTGGACTGATAGTGGACATTTGGTGCACATTTAACCCGAAATCGGACGAAGATATATATGGGAGCTATATCTAAATTTGATCCGATTCTCACCAATTTCAATAGGGTTCGTCCTTGGGCCAAAACAGTATTGTTTGGAAAATTTCATCTTAATCGGATAATAAATGCGACCTGCATTTTGTTCACAAGAATACATGGACAGACGGACGGACGGACAGACGGTCTGACATGCATAAATCGACTCAGAAAGTGATTCTATGAAAAAGTAACTAAGGGTCTATCTCGTTTCCTTCTCCATGTTACAAACAAATGCACAAAGACATAATACCCTTACCACTATGTGGTGTAGGGTATAAAACTAAAAAAGTCACAAATACTACAAAATCTATATTAATATCATTATTAGCATTTTTAATACGCTTTTTTAGGTTTTATTCTTTAAAGCCAAGACGTCGTTCTGAATTGACAATATTTGTCAAAATCTGCCTAGCCATTCTTGAGATATAAACATTCTAGCTAACATCCTCTTCCTTTGTATATACACATTGTATATATTTCGCTATATATATCCAATATATTTAATATCGGCATCTACGTACCCGTCAGAATTGACCTATTCGCCTCTTTATGATTTCGCCGGGATTAAAAATATTCGCGGTTTAGTGGAAAGTTAGACTTTTTTAACACAAATGTTATGGTCTATTTCACCCACTAAATATTACCCGATGACCATCAAAATTAGTAGACTTCTGTCCAGCCCTAAGCTGTAGCCCCATGCTAACTTCTGCGTCGATTGGTCCATAATTACGACCTGTAGAGCAACTGTTAATTCAGGACATTTTTTAAGTTTTTGGTCCATTTCAACTCCTAAATATTAAGCGATCATCTCCAAAAGCAATAGGCTTCTATTCTGGCACTAGCCCCACCTACATTCTAAATTTCATGCGACCTGTAGAGTGATTACAAATTAACATGGACAGACGGAGAGACGGACAGACGGACATACATAGCTAGATCGACTCAGATCGGCGAGATGGGATGATCCATATATACTTTCCTATGTGGGAAACCAATATTTCGAGGTGTTACATAATTTATGGCCCAATCAAACTTATAATACCCCCAACACATATTGTTGTGGGGTATAAAAATTAGGCCAAACTATTTGGAAAATATGACTACAACGTAAACGTTTTTCAAAAATTGTGAATTGGCTATATAAAGAAACTAGACCGCAAAAATGGACTACCATGCCCTATATTTTTCAAACCATGATTTTGATGTAATCCAAAAGCTCTAAAGCATATTTCAAAGCTATATGGTCTATTTGGGTTTGGTCCAGACACTGTACCCTGTTAAAGCTTCTAGCAAATTTCCACAACCCAGATTGGCTGTTGTCGCGAATTCAGAAATAGTGCTAAAGATGTTAAAAAAACGTTATCCGTTAGCCAAAATTTATGATGTATTTTTAAGTTTCATTATAAAATGTTTGACAATTTCCCGAAATTTATATACTACTAGCAAGTACCCGCTACTTCGTCTGCGATAAGTCCACCTTAAAATGTTAGAATCCTTCATCCTATTCAATATACCCTCAGCCATATGGCTATATTGTTTACAAGCGTACAAAAGCAGTAGCAGAAAAATGGCTTTGAGCTGAACATATCGCAATATTCTATTCGGCAAATGTTGAAAAATGAGCTCGCCGCAAGGGAAAGCTAATAGACTCAAAAGAGTTAAAGAGTTGCTTCGCTTGCCCGAAAGTGGTGAACTGTCGAATTTCGTTGTCCAGCAGTTTGTAAACAAACACATATACCCTCGGTTGGCCACCAGAACTCAAGCGCCGGTCATGGTGATGGTGTGGGCCGCCATACAGCCGATGGTCGGTCTCCGCTCGTATTAATCGACCGTGGCATCAGAATAAATGCCGAATATTATCGCGAAAATATTCTGGAGTGTGTACTAAAGCCTAGGGGACGCAAACATTTTGGCATTCCAACAGGACTCAGCACCATCCGCACTGCGCGCGCCACCCAAGAATGGTTACAAAATGCCACCAAAATCTCCGGATACCAATCCGTTGGACTATTGTGTCTGGAGTATTTTGTAAAGCAATGTTGGCACTAAAAATACCAAAGTGTCGATCACCTCAAGCAAGCGCTTCGCCGGGAATGGGCCAAAATATTGCAGAGCAACATTCGGGCAGCGTGTGACGGTTTCATTGGCCGTTTGAAGGCCATAATTCGCCAAAGGTGATCAATTTGAACAGATCTAAGTTTATTCAAAAATTTTATGCTATTTCCGAAATTGTTTGTTTTCATTCAATAAATTTAAAAAAAATGTAGAAATTATGGCGTTTGACTTTGTTGCAGTTTTTTTCTCACCCTGTACACAAAACTTGGTTTAAATAATTATTGAACATCTCAATATTTGTATCGGCATTAGTATTATCTATTTTAACACACCCATTTCTTTTTCTACGTTCTCTACAAAAGTCCAACATTTTTAAAATATATGTGGGACTATTTAAAATAAGGGGAGGAAGTAGTCGATTTAGTCCAGGCACGTCACAATAATTATATAAGACTTCTTCGGGACCATTCCTATAAGGGTATTATCAAACATAAGCTAAGAGTATGTAGATGTCGACAAAACCGACATATACTTTTTGATTAGTTTTTTTTTTTGTTTTTGAAACTCAAACGTTTGGTTGAAAAATGTTGTCCTACTGAAGATTTATCCATGCTCTATGAAAGCTATAACCAAATCTATGCATTTTGAAGAATTTATCCACTTTTGAATTCCATGGTTTTTGGAATTTATTATTATTATTTTAATTTTGTAGCGGATAGAAAACAATCCTCCAAGGTACTTTAAATCCTTGAATAAAATTCTGCATAGATTTGTGCACCTCTTGGTGTATGTTATATGAAATAGAATAAGTAAAAAACACCTAAGTTCGGCCGAGTTGAACTTTTAATTCCCTCTACTATTTGGAAAGAACTTGAAAAACTTAAAAAAATCGTCGAAAAATGGGATTTATGGGGCTATAAGAAGACGAGGACCTGAATAGGCAATTTTTTTGAAATAGCCTGTAGTACCCATTAGAACCTTCAAAAAGGAAATTTAAAACAATTCCGGTGAATAATGTCGCTAAAAACATTAAAATACCGAAAAAGGGAGATACTGTTATATGAAGGGTATGCGTACGGACCTGCATAGACAATTTTCTGTCATAGGTTGAAGTACCCATTAGGACCTTCAAATAGGAAATTTAAAACAATTCCGGTGAATAATGTCACTATAATCATCAAAATACCCAATATCCGAAGGTACCGTTATATGGGGGGTTACACTAAAAAGTGGACCGACAAACCGGCAAAATACACATGTGCGCAAAAATTGAGCCTTCTATTTCAATTCGTTCAAAAGATAGCGTGACTACAACAGACACACAGCCAGGCGGACATCGATATAGAATTTTACGGTGATCCAGATATGTATACTTTGTTAGGTCTGTCATAAGTATTTCGAGGAGTTACAAACGGAATATGAAAGTAAATATACCCTCCATAGTGGAGGGTATAAAAAATCAGAAACCACAAATTTAAACTCCAAAATGTAAGTATTTTTCAGGTGTCAGACACAATTATCAAAGGAAAAAATCCTTGTTTTTTGTTTTCCATGTTTATGTCCTCTTTTATAATTTACGGGATTATAAGCAATCTGCCACTAGCTATTGAGGTTTCCTGTCGAAAATATTTTGAAAATTTTTGCTTGCTTTGTTTGTTGACCAATTTCCAAAGAAATTGTTATTTTTCCTGAAAATTGATATTCTTTTTTAACCATATAACCATTCAGAATATTCTGTCGTTTCAACAAAAAAAATTGCATGGCATATTTAGAAATCCCATTCTTATGCGAAAAATTAATAAATAAAAAGGAAATATACGATTTCTTCCCCAGCACAAATAACTACAAATATCAATGACAATTTCGTATGGCTCAGATTACGTTTTCCAATCAGGACATATTTTATGAGCAGACTCCAATAGTGTAAACATTTGCTAACAATGATTTCTGTTTTCGCACTTCCACATGATTTCTTTTAGCTTCATTTCACTTCCATTCGATTCGTATCGCATGGCATCGTCTCGTTTCATTTCAATTCTATGAGGATTTGTTAGATTGAAAAATGACTTACCGTTAAAAATTCCATTACTTGATTGGCATTACATTCGTTTTTAAAAACTGCAAACATATGGAGATTATGATCAACAGCATCATCGTCTTATGGATTGTTCGAATGCTGCTGCTACTGCTGCTACTGGTGGGTGGCCATCGAGGATACCATAAATCCCAAAAAAAGTCGTACGATTCGAATCCGGGGGAATGAAGAACGAGGCGACAAAGGACACATAGAAAGAGAGAGAGAGAGAGAAGGAAACAGATATTATGAAAGTCAACATCAACAGGAAAATAAATCGAATGGTAAACAGGAAAACAATGACGACACTGACAATAATGGATGGAAAATAAATCGAAAGGGACGTTATAATGGATGTTTCATAAATATCATTGTCCTCCAGTAGCCGAGGTATCGTAAGACGACGCTCAAAAGATTTTATGTGCCATACAACATACACAACATGATGAAGAATGGTGATGTGGTTGTTGTTGTTGCTGTTATTGTTATTGCCGTGTATGCGTTAAATTCCCATAATTTATTGTATATTAAAAATGTTTTTTTTATTTATTTATTCGGGTATGTGTTTGTACAGCCGTTCCGTATTTGTATTTGGAACTCAAGCAGAAACACGAACACAAGTGTACCATGAAATATGACCTTGATCTTTCATTACCATTAGGAGATTACCAATTTGGGCTTAACATGTCCTTACAGTGATATGTTATGGCGAACAGTGATGTTAACAGATACGATTAGAATGACGTATGATAACAGTTTGTGGAACATGAAGAACTAGAAAAAGCTTCGAAGATGTATAAGTCGAATAATCCATTAACAGGTTATAACCAGTAAAGAAAGTCTTAAAGTCGGGCGGGCCGACTTTATGATACCCTACTCCACTTTGCATATTTAGTAGAGCTTCACAATTAAAAGTTTTTATGGGAGAATTCAATCATACACGCTATGATTATAATTATAATTTACAGTTCAAAGGACTAAATTTGCCGAAGAATTTGTATTTTTAAATTCGGACTTGTATTGCCCATTTGGTGCATAATTAATTTGAAATCGGATAAAGATATATTTGGGAGCTACATCCAAATCGGAACCGATCTCGATAAAATTTGGCAAAAATATTTCTGAGCTGTATTTGATATATTTCCCTGAATATCGTTGTTACGGAGTGCATATTACGGCTGTGGGTAAGAAATATAACAAATCAGATGAACAATATATATGGGAGCTATAGCTATATCTGAAGCGATTTTCACCAAATTTGGCATACTACCTTCTAGACTCAATTCGGTCGTAAGTGCCAAATTTCATCCCATTTGGGCAAATATTAGACGTTTGGTGGACAATAAAAGGTAAATCGGACGAAATTGTATATGGGAGCTATATCCAAATTTGAACCGATCTCGATAAAATTTAGAAGAGGTATTTATGAGCTGCATTTGATACATTTCCTCAAATATTGTGGTTACAGAGTGCATATTACGGCTGTGGAGGACAAAAATAACAAATCGTATGTACAATATATATGGGAGCTATAGCTATATCTGAACCGATTTCGATCAAATTTGGCATACTTATTTTCAGGCCTAATTTGATAGTATGTGCAAACTTCCATACTATTTAGGCTGATATTACACGTTTGGTGCAGAGTTACCGTTATTTTGGAGACTATGCGAAGACGTGGACCTGCACAGAAAATTTTCTGTCACAGGCTGTAGTACCCGTTACGAACTGCAAATGCGAAATTTGAAACAATTGCGATAAATAATTTCGCTAAAATCATTAAAATACCGAATAAAGGGAGACCCCGTTATGTAGGGACTATACGAGGAACTAGACCTGTATATACAACTTACTGAAACAGGCTGTAGTACCCATTAGGAACTTTAAATAGAAATTTGAAACAATTCCGGTGAATAATGTCGCTCAAATCAGCAAAATACCGAATATAGGGAGGTACTGTTATATTGGGACTACACGAAGACCTAGACCTGCATAGGTAATTTTCTGTCACAGGCTGCAGTACCCGTTACGAACTGCAAATTCGAAACAATTCCGGTGAATAATGTCGCTGAAATCATCAAACTCTCGAATATAGGGAGGTACCGTCATATGGGGCCTATGCGAAGACCTGGAACTGCATAGGCAATTTTCTGTCACAGGCTGTATCCGTTACCAACTGCAAATACAAAATTTGAAACAATTCCAGTGAACAATGTCGTTACAGCATCAAAATACCGAATACCGGGAGCCACTGCTATATGGGGACTATGTAGACCTACATAGCTAATACCAAAAGTCCTGCAGACCAAAAAAGGACATTTGAGTAAAATTTTATTAAGCTACTTCAATTCGTTCGGAAGCTAGGGTGATTTTCACAGACGGACGGACATTGCTAAATCGACATAGAATTTTATGCTGATCAAGAATATTTATGCTTTGAGGGGTCTAAAATGCATATTTCGAGGTGTTACAAACGGAATGACAAACTTAATTTACCCTCCATACTATGGTTGAGGGTATAAAAAGTTGGTTTTAATGCAACTTTTTGTTAATGAACTTCGGCCTAACTTGACATATACAAATGATCGTGTTTACTTGTCAAAGAGGTCAGCGAAAATATGCACCTTCGGTTGGCCACCAGAACTCAAGCGCCGGCCATGGAGATGGTGTGGGCTGCCATAACAGCCGAAGGTCGCTCTCCGCTCGTATTTATCGACCGTGGCATCAGAATACATAAATGCCGATTATTATCGCGAAAATATTCTGGAGGGTGTATTAAAGCGTTGGGCACGCAAACATTTTAGCCGCAGACCTTGGACATTCCAACAGGACTCAGCACCATTGCACTCAGCACGCGTCAAGAATGGTTACAAAATGAGGTTCCTCGCTTCATTTCGAGTGCACAATGGCCACCAAAATTTCCGGATACCAATCCGTTGGACTATTGTGTCTGGAGTATTTTGGAAAGCAAGGTTGGCACTAAGAAATACAAAGGTGTCGATCACCTCAAGCAAGCGCTTCGCCAGGAATGGGCCAAAATACCGCAGAGCAACATTCGGGCAGCGTGTGAAGGTTTCATTGGCCATAAGGCCATAGGACATAATTCGTGTCAAAGGTGACCAATTCGAACAAATCTAAACTTATTCTAAAATTTGATGCTATAAAATTATGGCGTTTGACTTTGTTGCAGTTTTTTTATCTCACCCTGTAGGTATTGAAAATTGTAAACCTCAGAAGAGTTGGGCCGATATCTCTCTTCTTCACACCAGATTTTGTGTTAATAAAAATATTGGGATGTGTGAAACCGGATGAATACTTTGCATTGTTGAAAATTTTTGCCCTTTGTGGGAGAGGTACATAATAGAGTGTACCGATATTGTCCAATTTCGCTCCTACCATAGCACTGATTCCTAAGTTTGCATGAACTTGGATGATCCATTCTTGTTCTATTGGGAAAATTATTTTCTGTAAAAAATGTGTTCTTTTGTGGCCGAGAATCTTGATGTTGTCGGCCGATATTGCCCATCTCTGAAATCGATCTAAGTTTGCAATAATAGTACGACGTATTAAGTTTAGATCAAATCGGATACTACCTTTGAGAGTTATCGTGCATACCAGCCAGCCAGACAGACACACGGAAGGACATTGCTAGATCGACTCCAAATGTCCTGGAGCGGATTTGGTGCCATGAGACCTAGGGTCTTAAGACTTTATTTCGATGAGACACGCTTTTATCGTATCAAATGATATATACCCTCTGTAGCCATATGGCTGAGTATAATAATTAAATGTATATACAGGTGCATATTCAATATGGAAATGCAACTTCAAGAACCGCTACATCCTCTATTTATTAAAAGAAATCCATGTATTTTAAAAGAACTGTCAATGAATTTGACCGCCCCTCAGATAATATTGAGGTTTGATTTTTAGACAATGTCTCCTTCCTATGACAAGAATGTTTCTACGAGTTATGAAGCATTTAAGACATCTAAATGCTGAGTTATTGATGCCGAAATGTCAATGAAATTAAATAAACATATTGGAGATAATCGGTCAAAATTTAGGTATAGCTCCCATATATACTTTCGTCAAATTTGTCTTATATTGTACACCAAACTTGTAATATCAGCCCAAATAGTCTGGAGAAAATAAGTATGCCAAATTTGATCGAAATCGGTTCAGATATAGATATAGCTCCCATATATATTTTTCATCCGATTTTTCATTTTTGTCCTCCGCAGCCGTAATATGCACCCTGTAACAACGATATTTGGGGAAATATATAAAAATTAACTCAGAAATACCCTTGCAAAATTTTATCAAGATCGTTTAATATCTGGATATAAGTCTCATATATATCGTCGTCCGATTTGCCTTTTATTGTGCACCAAACCTGTAATATTATCCCAAATAGAATGGAATTTGGTACTTAGGACCAAATTGAGTCTAGAAACCAGTATGTCAAATTTGGTGAAAATCGGTTCAGATATAGCTATAGCTCCCATATATATTGTTCATCCGATTTGATAAATTTGCCCTGCATAGCCGTAATATGGGCTCCGTAGTAACGATATTCGGGGAAATATATCAAATACATCTTAGAAATACCTTTGCCAAATTTTATCGAGATCGGTTCAGATTTAGATATAGCCCTTATGCATTGTAGTTGAAATTAGCTATATGGGTTCCGGTTTTTGTATGACCCCTAATAATGATTGCAAACCATTTTATGGTATTTCGAAAACTTCAACTGCATTCTCCAACTGAGAGAAGGAAGCGAAATAGACCCATAGTTACTTTCATAGAATCACTTTCTGAATCGATTTATGCATGTCAGTCCGTCCGTCCATTTATTCTTTTGAAATAAATGCATGTCGCATTTATTAACCGATTGTGATGAAATTTTCCCAACAATATTTGTTTGGCCCAAGGAAATTGAAATTGGTGATAATCGGATCAGATTTAGATACCGCTCCCACATATCTTCAACCGATTTCGAGGTCATTGTGCAAGTAAATCAAATATAGCTATAGCTCCTAAATATATGTTTTATCGGATTTGG